CCCACAACTACGTGAAATTGAGGTGGAGCCCTGTACCCACTGACATAACACAGACCACAACTACGTGAAATTGAGGTGGAGCCCTGTACCCACTGACATAACACAGACCACAACTACGTGAACTTGAGGTGGAGCCCTGTACACACTGACATAACACATCCCACAACTACGTGAAATTGAGGTGGAGCCATGTACCGACTGACATAACACATCCCACAACTACGTGAAATGGAGGTGGAGTCCTGTACTCACTCACATAACACAGCCCACAACCACGTGAAATTGAGGTGGAGCCCTGTACCCACTGACATAACACAGACCACAACTACGTGAAATTGAGGTGGAGCCATGTACCGACGGACATAACACATCCCACAACTACGTGAAATGGAGGTGGAGTCCTGTACCCACTCACATAACACAGCCCACAACCACGTGAATTTGTAATAAATCATCTGTTGTTAAATATTTCTTTTAAAGTTATCGAAAGAAAAAATGAGCATAATCTTCATATACTGACATAACACAGCCCACAACTACGTGAACTTGAGTTGGAGCCTTGTACCCACTGACATAACACAGCCCACAACCACGTGAATTTGTAATAAATCATCTGTTGTTATATATTTCTTTTAAAGTTATCGAAAGAAAAAATGAGCATAATCTTCATATTGATTTCAATACCTCGATTTGGCTTCCCTCACATACCCCTGCAAATCGGGATAGAGAAACTATTACACCTGTTGGTACTCACGGCATGTATCGTAAGAGGCGACTAATGTGGGAACCCCTTTTAGAATTAGGGACTTGCGTTTGTGCCCTTTACTTCGGGACTTCTAACTACATTTTGTTTCCTACCGCCTTGCCTGCCAATAACTTACTTTTGGCTTTAATGTTGAACACCCAGGTGAGGAAGGTAATCAGTTCTGTCCTCGTGCCAGAACATACTGTACCAAAGTCTTTAAAATGGCATATGTTGTTGCTTGCTTAACCTTGAACATTTAGAGCAATGCCAACAATTGGCTTACCTTTTGACAGTATAATGTGGCGGAACACTGTGCTGGGTGACTTCAGCATGGTAATTCAGTAGGGTAGCACTATTAAGTCGGCATCAGATCCGCGCTATCACAAGGATGCATATACACCAACATATCCTGCCTCCAGCCCTCATACACACATGGAGACACGTCCTCAAATAACCCTAGCTGTTGATAGGACGTCAAACCCTGTATAAATAACTAACCCCTCACGCATTGTATGTGGAAGGGTAAGAATACCTTTTCTTAGTCGAGGGCCTACTGCTCAATATTTTATCCCGAGGGTTTGAATTACCTTATCCATACCTCACACCTGGGATGGCTTCTATTATTACAATGCCGTGACCGCAATTAAGAAAATATGCTTTTCTTTCAATTAAAAAAAACCCATTCAAAGTGATAAATGTAGTACTGTCTGTCAGATAGAAAAAGCTGTTGAAGTTTAATGTTATAGGAAATTTTGAAAGAGGAGTAGGTCTTACTGATGTATTCGTCGTTACAGGTATACCGGCCTATAGAGACTACACCATCACCATAACGACGGGATCTGAAAGTTCCTCTGGCACTGATGCTAACGTTTACATACGTCTTATTTGTGAGTTGGAGGATTTCACAATAAACTGTCCTTCATCCTCGAGTTTTGAAAGCGGCAGTGTCGACGTTTGTCAGGTAACTTTTTAGTGTTAAACTTTCTGACTGCATAGGTATGTCACCCAGTAACTCCCGCTACAGGGTTATGACCAACTTCTGGGGACCAGTAGACAGGGATCTAAATTAATAACTTATTCCTAGTCGATATGATTGGCTAGTTGATAATACATTATCATTAAATCTTGGAAAAACTGAGAGTATTATGTTTGGTCCAAAGCTTAAAATAAAAAAGGTTTATGNTTGGAGGATTTCACAATAAACTGTCCTTCATCCTCGAGTTTTGAAAGCGGCAGTGTCGACGTTTGTCAGGTAACTTTTTAGTGTTAAACTTTCTGACTGCATAGGTATGTCACCCAGTAACTCCCGCTACAGGGTTATGACCAACTTCTGGGGACCAGTAGACAGGGATCTAAATTAATAACTTATTCCTAGTCGATATGATTGGCTAGTTGATAATACATTATCATTAAATCTTGGAAAAACTGAGAGTATTATGTTTGGTCCAAAGCTTAAAATAAAAAAGGTTTATGGTGAAGAGAGTTTTACAGTAAGCTGTAATAATCATAATATTTCAGATACATCATGTGTAAAAAATCTTGGTATTGTAACGTGACGGGAAGGAGGTTTCCAGAATACAACATTTCACAACAGAGTTCTATTTACAAGTTTACTTACACTTTATATACAACGTACACCATTACGGTCAGCATAGTCCATAACAACACCTGAGAGAATCCCCTAGCTAATTTACCTCAGCTAAGCTATACAGGAGACAGCCTAATCACGTCTGTACTCCACTAGATCACTCCCCTTTCTCCCCGGACCCCACGCTGGTCTCCCCCCAGTTATTACACCTAGGTGTACCTGAGGCCAACCCTGTAGCAGTGACAGCTCCCATGACCTTAAAGGTCAACTCTCCGGCTCAGCCATGTGACAGCCTGCCTGCTATCAGTATGGTCCCCCCTCCCGGTGTAAATTAAAGTCTGTACTAAATACATGCCCCATCATTCTTATCAACCCATTACTCTTAACACAATATGCACGATTAGGGATATACAAACACCAATTTATCACAGTATATATATTTACAACTAGCTATCTGGTGAAGAGATTGTTGATTCGATAATTAAAAAGGTTAACCAGAGATTAAAATTTCTGTATAGGAATAGTAGTTGTTTGTCTTTCGAATCCAGGAAGACCTTGTGCTCTGCGCTTATTCTATGTCACTTTGACTATGCAAGTGCTAGTTGGTATGAAGGACTGTCAAAAAAACTTAAAAATAATCTACAAGTGGCACAAAACAAGGTGATAAGATTTATTTTAAATGTACATAATAGACACAGTTTGTCCTACCATGATTTTAGTTGTGTCAACATGCTGGATATCAATACCAGGGCAAGGCAACTTAGACTTAATAATATGTTCAATATTTCCAATGGAAAATCTCCTTAGTATACACTGTATGTACAATGTATCATTTTTTTTAACGGGAATCCATGTTTCTATATCATTCTCTTAAATCTATGTACTTTTATTCTACAACTTTATATTTTTCTTGTACCAAAGGATTGGAATTCACTTCCTGACAGCATAAAAAGTGAAAATAATAAATTAACTTTTAAATTTATATAAGGTGAAGAGTCATTTACAAAAGCTTATGAAAGGAAAACAAGAAAGTGAATATGTGTACTTTTAATATGGTTCTATGTTTTAGATTATTATGAATATTTTCTTGTATGTTTCAAATTCAATTAAAAGAAAACATTTAAGGTATTATGTGTACTTTTAAACTGACCATCATGTTTTAACGAAATAGTAGTTCATGTTATGAATAATGTCTCATAAATGTATCAAATAATTGTAAAACATCAATATTCAATTTTGAAATTATACTTTAGTTTCTTTGAAAGGATCCCAATGGATATACGCGTTCTGCTTTTTTGGGTTATCCTAGGTAAAAGGCTGCAATTTCTGTGATATATATTTTAACTAGTGCTCAATTTTGTTATGTTATGGTACAAGTACTGTCGTCAAATCTAATGTTGTACTGTTACTCTACTCTGTGATATTCATGTATTGCTATATGCCTATTTTACTTGAATAACTGTTATTATTATTATTATTATTATTATTAACTTACTGAAGTTTTTTTTATATATAAAACACACGTCAACATTAGTCAAAATGGGATGTGATTAAAAGTAGTAATGATAATATAGGAGGCAAATATTTTATTTTTGACAATGTATGTTTCATTTGGATTATAATTATGATTTACAGGAATCGTTTCCCAATCGGGGTCCATTGGTCAAGGTTGTAATCGGGCATGACAACACCGGCGTTGCCGCAGGCTGGTTGGTACAAACGGTATGTTTATCGTCTGTTTTTTATGCCTGGTTTTATTAAGAAATTGGTTTCATTTGAAAAACAATTGTTCTTATTTCATGAAGTGAAGAATTGATTAACTGAATAATTGAGCCCGTGCTTATCCTACTCTTGTGCGGATGTAGATGCACTGTATTTTACAAGTACATTATAACCTATTTTTTGTTTTCTTTTTCAATTGACTAATGTGTAGGCTACATTTAACAATTGACATAAATCAAACACGTGACTGAATGACGTATGCTGGGTTGTTGGCGATAAGATCTTCCGTAATATAAGCGTATTTTACAAACGTGATAAAAAGAATAGCCCTAGTTTATAGAATAATACTATTGTTATATCAACGTATCTCATGAACACTCTAGTTTACCACGGCTGTAAAGAGGGAGAACGGAAAACAACCAAATACTCCTCTATTCTATGAATGGAAATGATATTGATAACAGGAAACAAGATAAACCACTATACACTTTCAGTGACGAAAACGTAGTCCTACTTGCACAAATTTGATGTCGTATTTGTAACTGACGGCCGAGAAAGATCTCCACTTGTTCTCTCTCAGATGACGATTTCTCGAACCTAAGAAAGAGATATCCCACGTAATACCCCATGCTAGATTTTTCTATCTCGTCAAATCAGTCTGGTACCTTTACGTGTCATTCCGCGGCATTTTTACCCTGCGATGTACTCATCCGCGTGTAAACGGCTTGAAATTGACAATCTTCTGCATTATAAATATTCTGTTTTGCCGTTATATGTATAGTTTTGATAATGGTAGATATCTGATATTGTAGATAATATATAATCTACACTGTAAATTACGTTGTCTTCTTTGTAAGGACAGACTACACTTTACGCGGAAGCATTCAGATGTAGCTTTAGTAGTGTAATAGCCATTACTATTTGAGGCCTCAGACTGGATACTTGTAGCATTCAGCAAAATTGAATATTTTCTTTTTCGAACTAAAAGTTGCGAGAAAAACAAATCAATTACCTGTAGTAAATAAGCAAGTTCAGTTACAGGTAATAGATTTTATTTGTCATGTTCATGTCAATCCTTCCACAGCCAAACTATAGCACGGAAGTACATTTTATAATATTGCTGTAGACTGATGGGTATGTGTCGATGTGTATTCGATATATATGGGTTGGAGAGTGTAATACACTAACCACCACCTATCAAATTAAATTCTGATCATGGAGCTATACAAAGTTAGGCTGATACTGTTTAAATTTCCAAACTAATCTTCGTACAGTTTAACACTCAATGATAGTTTCATAGGGTTTCATACAATTCCATTTGTTGATATGAAGTAAAATATGTTATTGTTAATTGTGGGAAATATCCGGGTGTGTCGCTTATACAGCTCTGGGAATATTTGATTTCCTTTTAGTTGTTTCCCCTGCACCAAATGAATTACTTATTGGTATTTCTCTCATTTCCGTGTGTGTAAGACAGAGCTGTCCAGGGTAAGAAAGGGATGGAAGAAATTTCAATCTTACTCACCGTTTCACGTGACGTGGCATCACAATTGCTCAATAATCACGTGATGTCACGAATTCGGAAATGTCTGATGCCGCAATGCGGAAAAGGCTACGTGATGGAAATAAACCCTTTCACAATATATTGACCGTACAAGTTGAAAAGATGATTTTTTTTTGTGCAAACTAGGTTTGCAAATATGGGGTTTGCTAAATCTAACTGACAGAATCGTTTTCGACAAAAAAGCTCAGGGAAGAGTTGAAATTTTTAGTTCAAAAGCATTTTAATTGTTTTAGACCTTATTCTGGGTAGTTGGAATAAGAGAAGACCCCTGGGTGAAATACTGTATACCATGAACGTCCGCTTTGTAAAATTGAACCTCGAAAAATATATTTACCGAATTAAAGATACATATTTGACAACAATTTGTATGTATGTGATATCCGCGAAAGTTACCATAAAACGATCTAAATAGCTTCAAACCACGAGGGAAAACACACAGGAACATTTTATGTCACACATTATAGGGCTCAACAATGTTTACCAATACGCCACTTCAATAGTCCTTTTCATGATTTCAAATTTAATTTCAGTATAAGACATGAAATGATGGCAGACAAGCGACCATTTACGTTAATACTACATACATTTTACAATGAATTCCCGACAATGTGTAGATTTCTAACACAAGTTGCCCTCGACATCAGATGAACGCACATGTGACTGTAATATCCCTTCAAAAGATTACAAATACTCTATACTCAACATGAACTTGTGCTGGAGTATTTACTTTTGATTAAGATTTAAATGGTTATTTTTTAATAACAGGTCGTCCTCGTCGACAACAGTGGTGGTGGCAAACAATCGTACAATTGGGACGTTAATCAGTGGCTCCAAGATAGCAGTCTGGAAATCACTCTATCTGTGTCTTAACCCCTATTACTGTCTATGTCTCTATCTGTGTCTAAGTCCCTCTCACTGTATCTGTCTCTATCTGTGTCTTTGTCCCTCTCACTGTATCTGTCTCTATCTGTGTCTTAGCCCCTATCACCGTCTCTGTCTATATTTGTGTCTAAGTCCCTCTCACTGTATCTGTCTCTATCTGTGTCTTAGTCCCTCTCACTGGATCTGTCTCTATCTGTGTCTTAGTCCCTCTCACTGT